AAATAACTCTAGAAGGGGAAATAACTCTAGAAGGGGAAATAACTCTAGAAGGGGAAATAACTCTAGGTTTCTATTGTTTTCCTTGTTAGTTGCCATTGAATTGCCAACTCACAGCAGCCCACATGCAGCAGAAGGAACCAGGGCCTAATCCTGCATTCCTTTCAGGACCCTTGTTTGTTTCAATCTAATGTTGAAGCTATTGTGTCAATCCATCTCATTGAGGTTTTCCTCATTTTTGCTCATTCTCTGCTTAAATAACCATAATGTGCCTTTTGGGGCTCCTGGTGTGGCACTGTAGGATAAGCACTAGATTGAATAGTGAAAGGGAGTTAAGCAGACAAATAAGGGTGGGAAGAGTGTTTCATACATCCTGAACAGCATGTACAAAGGCCGGGGCAAGGAAGAACGTTCATTCATTTGGCAACTATTGATGGGACAATTTCGTGTGTGGTGGGCACTTTTAGTGTCGGTGGAAGAGACAGACACAAACCTAATGATCACAAAGATATCATATCCCAAGAGTAACTGACTGATGGTCACTGGACCCAGATGATACACCAATCACTGGTTCTCAAAATAAGATCAGGGACCCAATAACTTTTGGAGGGATCTGTGAGGTCAAAATTATGTTGGGTTCCAAATAGTCTATGTAGCCATGCCACTGTGAAGGATATGGGACACAACTGTCTCTCCAAGTGTGAGCTACACACAGTGATTTCTTCCCAACAAATGTGGTGTGGAGAAGGGTAGGTTGTAACTTTACAGTGGAGAACACTGGCAAAGACCACCTCACCGGTGATCAAGGTTGATATGATATATGATGAGAATGCCACTTCACTTTGTGGGCTTGCTCTAATCATGAAAAATCCATTCATTACCTGATCAGCATTCCTCAAAACTGTTCAAGGTTGTACATAACAAGCAAAGTCTGAGAAACTGCCACAGCTAAGAGGAGTCTGCAGGGAGAAGACCACTAAATGTAATGTGGTTTTCTGGGGCCGAAAAAGGATATTAGGACTCTATGATACCGTGGGTGACTCTGCTGGTATTTAAAAGCTCAGTGACATAGCTTCCCAATCATAGCAATGTGCAAGCCACCACAGTACAATAAACTGACAGATGAGTGGTAGATATGTTAACGCACAGAAACTAGGCATGGCATATGTGACAACTCTTTACAACCTTCACATTTGTCCTGTAAGTCTAAAATGATTCTGAAATTTAAAATTCAATCAAAGAATTATGCTTGCATAAAAGATCCACAAGGTGGCTCAATGGTTTTAATGGAATTGAGTATGCAGATACATGGGTACATTTCATCTGACTTTTGAGAAACTACCACACATCGAATTTTGATGTCTTTGAAGTCGTACATGGAAGAATCAGCACAATTCTCTGGAAAGCCTATTAAAATATACATCACTCCCTTTTCCAACTTCATATTAGTGTGAAGTCAGATTTTCTTCATATTCTTCAACTCAAACAACCTTACATAAAATATTAAATTCAGAGGCAGGCATGAGAGAGTAAGCGGGTCATTAAAGGGACTTGCCTAACTGTACAACAGAATCACTCTTTTCACTATGTATGATTTGTTTTGAAAAATATCATTATTTTTAATAACAGATATTTATGTTAACATGCTATGGATTTATTATGATCATATAAAATGAATGAATACATAAAAATTGAAGATGTTTCTCAGTTTTAATTTGTCTCATGGTGAATATTAATAGATATTACCCACATGAACTAAAGTCTTCAGGATATCTGTAATTTTTAAGAGGATAAAGAGTCCTAAAACCTAAGTCCTAAGTTTGAGAATCACTGGTGCTATAGAAATCATTGAATCCTCACAGTAGCCTATTCAAACCCAAACAAAGCCACTGTCATCGAGTTGATTCCAATTCAAAGCAACTCTGTACAACAGAGTAGGGCTGCTTCACTGGGTTTCTGAAACTGTAAATCTTTATATGAACAAACAACTGCGTCTTTCTCCCACAGAGTAGATGGTGGATTTGAACCACTGAACTTGTAGCTGAACCCACTGTACCACTAGGGCTCCTTAACAGCCTACTGTTGTGGTTGTTGTTAAGTGCAAGTCGGTTCTAATAGTGACCCTGTATAGGGTTTCCGAGAGCAGCTGGTGAGTTTGAACCGCTGACCTTGCAGTCCAGCGCCTTATCCTACAACGCCACACCAGGACTCCTTAACAGCCTATTAGATAGGCATTATTAGCCCCCTTTGTGGATAAGAAAATTGAGGAACAGAGAGGTATAGTAAATTGTTCCAGGTCATCAGAAAGTTTAGAGTCAAGAGCTGGTATTTAATTCTATGTCATTATGCTTTCCTGACTACCTGTGTCTTGGTGGTCCTCTAGGTCTGTGAGCTCTGTAAGGAGGTGGCCCCTGTGGACAGCCCCGTGGTTTACTCGGATAGGGCAGGCTACAGCAAGCAGTGGCATCCAGCCTGTTTCGTGTGTGCCAAGTGCTCCGAGCCACTGGTGGACCTCATCTACTTCTGGAAGGATGGGGCCCCCTGGTGTGGCCGCCATTACTGTGAGAGTCTGCGGCCTCGGTGCTCTGGCTGTGATGAGGTAAGTCTGAAGGGAAGGAGGAAGAGAATCTAAACAGCAGATTAGCTGCCTCATTTCTGTGGAAAAAGCCAGAGACCTAAAGAGTGTGACTTCACTGATGTGGTCTATAGATAGGAGAACGAAGACTCAGGCCTCCCTTAACTACTTCTGTTGTTGTGAAGTGCCCTAAGTCAGTTCAGAGTCCTAGTGACGCTGTATAGGATTTTGGAGGAGCAGCTGGTGAGTTTGAACCACCAGCTTTGTGAGTCAAACTGACTTGGAAGCCTAGTGCTTATCCTATAGCACCACACATCTTCATATTGAGCCAAAACCTGTCTCTCACTCTCTTCCATATAAAGTTAAGGCCTTGCAATCAATTGCCTTACTCAATACATGTACTATCAAGTCATAGCGAAAAGGAAACAGGCTTTAAAAAGGACTCACAGGAGGCCTGCCGTCTGACCTCGTGTTCATGAAGAACACCTTGTATTCACAGAAACAACACTCTATCACTTGTTAAGGGTTTACCACAGGTCAGCAATTACTATGCACTATGAGTGCATTGTTCCATTTAAATGCCACAGCGGCCCTTTAAGGAGAGATTATCACTAGCCTCATTTTATGTTTAGGGAAAGAGCAGCTCTGAGAAGTCAGTGATCATGTGATAGCACTAACTTTGTGTCAGTCACTAGTCCAGGCCTTGGTCATAAAGCTCGCAGCCATCGAATCAATTCCAACTCAAAAAGATGCCGTAGAGATTTTACGAGGCTGTAAATCTTTAAAGGAGAAGAAAGCCTCATCTTTCTCCCACAGAGCAACTGGTGGGTTTGAACTGGCGACCTTGCAGTGAGCAGTCCAGTGCTGATTCTACAAAGCCACCAGGGCTCCATGAAACCCTACACAGTGGATAGTATCTGTAGCCCGATTTTGCACACGTGGAAACTGACAGTAATTTAAGCTTAACCTTAATTTAACTACTTAACTTTAAGCTGAGGTTGGAGTCCTGATGTGATGCTGTAGGATCAGCACTAGACTGTGAACTGCCAAGTCAGTGAGTGGTTCAAACCCATCTGCTGCTTCTCAGGAACTCTATACAGTGTCTCTAAGAGTATGAACTGACTGGACAGCACTTAACAAAAACAAGAAGCTGAGATTAAGTAATTTGCCCTAGGTCACAAAAAAAGTGAAGCTTTGCACTGGCTCCGGGTTGAATCTGAAAGCAGACTAGCCAGTATGCTGTCTGAGCCTCAGCGTCCCTCACCATCTAAATATTCCAAAGCCTCACTTTATTCCAATCCCAAAGGAATCTGTATGAATGACCACTGGCAGTACCTCAAAATTAGCTCTTGTTAGGATGGTAATCTTGTCACAGAACACAACTGGGTTTAGGAGCTCACCCAAATAGTGTCACAGATGCTAGAAAAGTCAAACCTGCTTGTAGTAGAGAATACTTCTTTTTTTAATAACTTGAGAAATTGAGCTGCCACTACCGCCTTCCCCAAATACTATATATACTTAGTGCCCCAGACTTATGTCCGATTGCTCCTCGGAGAAATCTAAAGGTCAAAACAAGAATGAGATGGGTCAGTCTACATTCTTCAACTTGTCCCTGGCCCACTCTCTCTCCCTAGGGACAAAAGCTGAGTCATGCATTTCTTCTCTTCCCCTCCCCAGATTATATTTTCAGAGGACTACCAGCGCGTGGAAGACCTGGCCTGGCACCGAAAACACTTTATCTGCGAGGGCTGTGAGCAGCAGCTGAGTGGTCGGGCATACATTGTCACCAAGGGTCAGCTCCTCTGCCCAACTTGCAGCAAATCCAAATGCTCCTGAAGCTCACAGCCAGAAACCACAGGACCTCACCAAGAAGGAGAGCCAATGTATGCCCAAGTCATCCTGGGGTTCTGGCATGACAGCCAGAAAGCAACATGAACAATGATTTTAGGTTGATTGGTGATGGATCCTAAGGGTCACTAGTTTTGAAACCAAAAATATTCTAAGAAGTATTAGGATGGAATTGTTTTTGCTGTTGTCGTTATTGATGTTTCCCAGCTACAACCAGCTGAAGGCACAAAATAGCATCCCACAAGGGACCTCTAGGAGGCGCTTCCCAGAATGCAGTTCTGCGTGATCCAATCGCATAGTTGTAGAATGTGCATGCTTGTTCCTAAACATGGAACTCTTCCAGGAGGAGCAGGCTGCAACCCCAACCAAAACTTGTTGCCTCCTTTTCAAATGAAGTTTGAATGTTAAAAAACTTTCCTTGGCATGATAAACGTATCAATAAAGAGTTTATGAATTCCATATATGCCCTTATCTAGTTATTTACACTAAGCGGTGATTTTACAGGCTCTAACTCCATGACCCTGAACTCAGGTGCCGACAGAAGATACTGCGAATGCTAAGGAACCAACCTCTTTCTTAATCACGTCCTAGACTTTCTTGGGGTGCAGAGGTCCTTGAGTCAGAATCCCCTGCCCACCCATATCAGATACCCCAGCTCAGTGTTAGAAACATGAGTATCATTTAAGCCTCATGGTTTCATGGAACCTCAAAAAGTGGTCTCCTGGGAGTGAGTGAGCTACTTTTTAGCCAGCTCAACTCCAGTGCCCTCAAAGCCCAGGCAAGTTAGGTCAGTGTTGGGGAGTGACCATCAGGACCATGCCAGCCCTGCCAGCAGTGGGTATCATATACATACACAGAGAACCAGTGTGGGCAGATTTTTTAAATTGTGGGATTTAAAACTGTTTTTTTGAATATTTCCAACTGAACATTGAATAAGCCAAATATAACAGGTCTTTGGGCCAGATTTTATTCCTTTTATGGTCTCTGTGAGCATTTTCCAGACTCCAAATTCGTTTTCACTCCACAATTCCTAAGAAAATGCATATCTTTTTCTACTGGGATCTAAGAGCAAAAAACAAAAACAAAAAACAGGTCCAGTCACTATAGCCTTCTTCTTTCCTTATCTCTTCCCCATCTGTTGCCAAATTTCTTTAATTTTGCCATCCTAATTTTACTTTCACCATCCTTTATCTAAAATATCTCTATTTGTGAGCTTTGCAAGTTTTACCAAAGTCGTTGCTTTGGTCAATATCCTCCTAAAGTGTTTCTACAACCAGCTCTCCTACCCAGCCCCCCTCCTTGTCCCTACTGAGTCTATCTTCTCAAAGACAAGTGTGGTATCTTTGTCCCCCAAACTCAAAGACTCCCCATTGCCTATCAAGTTAAGATCTGACATTTGAATCCTTCTCAAACTTGGCTTTGCTAATGCCTGGCCTTAGAGGGCTCCACTTGTATCCATTTCTATTTCCCTGTTTCTTTGTCTGGTCCTGGGCTGCAGTCTGCCCAGTGATTGGTCAGTCAGTAGACTGTACAAATGAAGTATCTGTGGCTTAAGGAAAAGGGATTGGTCCGTTCCTGACCCCAGTGGGAGGGCTATACCTTGAAATTGACAAATTTGTGTAGCTATGCAGTCCCGGTGTGGCACTATAGGAGAAGCAGTGGACCATAAGGTTGGTTTGAACTACAAGGTCAGTGGTTCAAACTCATCAGTCACTCTTTGGAAAAACCTATACAGGGTCACCTTGAGTCAACAACAACTCAAGGGCATTTAACAACAACAAAACAGGCAACCTCATTGAGGCTTTTGAGACAGACACAGGAGGAGAAACAGCAGAGAGAAGAAGCAAAAAGAGAGAGAGAGACAAGAGAGCTGTAACCTAGATCAAGGGCTGTAACACTGACGATAATAATAGGCCCAAAGGGGCCCAGAGACAGAGCCAGCAGCAACAGACCTGAACAGGGCTCTGTAGAGAAGCTGAGAGAGGGGCCCTGCACTGAAGACTGAAAACTTTGCCTCCTTGCTTCCTGTTTCTGATCCCAAGCTGTGCCCTGTTGTTCCCAATCCTGAGTTCCTTAATAAACCACGTCAGTTCTGTGTGGGTACTGCAGTGGACTAGTGGTTGTTGTTGTTATGTGCCATGGAGTCGGTTCCAACTCATAGAGACCCTGTACAGGGTTTCCGAGGCTGTGAATCTTTATGGGAGCAGAAAGCCTCATCTTTCTCCCACGAAACATCTGGTAGTTTCGAACTGCTGACCTTGAGGTTTGCAGCCCGATTTATAACCACTATGCTACCCAGCAAAAATGTAGATCATGCTGTGGGAGGGAGGGATGTTGTCAGAATTGGTAAAAAGGTTGGAGAGTGCAGGTATGCCTGACCTCCCCTGAAAGGAATCAGCTTTGTGCAGATGGTGATTTCAATTACCCCTCATGAAGTCAGGCAGGTTCTGAGGAAACTACAATCTGCATTTCATAGCCCTTGTGATTTAGCGGTAGACTGCTCACCTTCATGAAGGAGACCTGGGTTTGATTCCCGACCAATATACCTCATGTCAGTGAAGGTTTTCCCATACATCTACAAAGAAAATCAGGAGCTTTGGTAGTGTAGTGGTTACAATTTGGGCTGCTAACCTCAAGATCAGCAGTTTGAAACTAACAGCCATTTCACGGGAGAAAGATGAGGCTTTCTGCTCCTGTAAAGATTTACAGCCTTGGAAACCCTATACAGGGTCACTATGAGTCAGGGCCAACTCCACGGCACATAACCATCACCACTACCACCACTACCACCACAAGGAAAACCAGTTAATACCACTATTATTCAAATGTATACTCTAACCACAAAAGTCAGTTAAAATAAAATTTAAAAATTTAAAAATTATGCCAACTTCTTCAGAGTCCTGGTGTGATAGCATAGGCAAAGCACTCAACCTCAAGGTTGGTTGGAACTACAAAATCTGCAAACTCAGTGGTTTAAACTCACCAGCCATGCCGTTCCTCAGAAACCCTATACAGGGTCACTATGAGTCAGAACCAACTCGGTGGCATTTAACAACAACTTCAGTCTGAAATTGATCAACCAAGCAATCAAGATGCATTGATAATTATTGGTGATCAGAATGCGAAAATTGTAAAAGAAGGAAAAAGGATTGGTAAATGGAAAATATGGCCTTGGCGACAGAAACGATGCTGCAAATTTCGTGATAAAATACCATGACCTGGGTAAAGTGCACCTTAGTCTTCAAACTGATATTTTTGCTTTAAAGAGATCTTATACAGCAGATTTGCCTAATGCAATATGTCTTTTAATTTCTTGACTGCTGCTTCCATGAGTGTTGATTGTGGATCCAAGCAAAATGAAGTCTTTGACAACTTCAACCTTTTCTGTTTCTCATGGTATTAGTTATTGGCCCAGTTGTGAGAATTTTCATTTTCTTTACATCAAAATGCAATCTATAGTGAAGGCTATAGATTTTTATCTCCATTAGTGAGCATCTCACGTGAAGGCACTTCTAGCAAGTATATCTCAAGTGGTTGATGAGTCTTCCTCCAATCCTGATGTCACTCACTTTCTTCATATATAGCTTCTCAGTTTATTTGCTCATCACACAGATTGAATAAGTATGGTAAAAGGATACAACCCTGACACATCCCTTTTCTGATTTGAAACCATTCAATATCCCCTTGTTCTTCATGAACACAATTAAATATTCTATAATTCCCATCCGTCTCACTGTTTTCCATAGTTTGTTATGATCCATGCAGTCAATATCTTTTGCATAATCAATAAAGCACGAATAAACATCTTTCTGGTGTTCTTTCAACCTAAATCCATCTGAAGTCATCAATAATATCTCATGGTCCACTTCCTCTTCTGAATCCAGCTCGAATTTCTACTGCTGTCACCATTTAAAAATTATCTACAGAAAAATTCTACTAGTGTGTTATTAATGGTATTATTCAATGGTTTCTGTATTCTGTTGGGTCACTTTTATGGGCACGATTTTAGTCCTTCAAAGGTGCCAGACTATAGTTTTGACATGGTGTACATCAACGATACAGAATTCTTCAGGGAAGGGTAAGAGAGATGGAAACACCACCTTCGAAGTGTTGTTGTTGTTGTTGTTGTTAAGTGCCGTCGAGTCGGGTCCGACCCATAGCGACCCTGTACAGGGTTTCCGAGGGTGTAAATCTTTACGGGAGTAGAAAGCCTCATCTTTCTCCCGCGGAGCGGCTGGTAGTTTCGAACTGCTGACCTTAAGGTTCGCAGCCTGATTCGTAACCACTACGCTACCAGAGCTCCGTAGATGGACCTAAATACAGGAACATACCTCCACATGTTGATATTTTTAGCTAATAGACGTGTCTCTGATTTTGTAGCAATACTTTTTTGGCTCACCCTGATATTTTCTGATCAGTATAGTTTCTCAGGAGTCCTGGTGGGGCACTGGATAAGCACTGCACTAACCACAAGGTTTGTGATTCAAACCCACCAACCACTCCTAGGAAACTTTACATATGAGTCACTGCGAGTCAGAACCGACTCCGCAGCACTTAACAAGAACAGTAAATGGTTTCTCAAGTTTGGGAATTTTGTCCATTGTAGCCCAAAACAATGAGATTGATTTCCAAGATGTTTCACAGTTTAGTCTGTGTGAATTAAGACAGTTCTGAAACCACTGTACGTCTGTCCTGTGAGGACACAAACAATAGTAATGTGACTGTTTGACTTACTGATTTATCAAACTTTGATTCCAGTGTTTGGCTTCAAATATAAGAAAATCCCATGAAAGATGACACTATGTCATGTTGTGTGTTGACTGTTCACTTCTTTGAGGAGCCAAGACTGTGGAGGACACTGTTGAGGGAAGCCTTGTGCCTTCTCCAGTCCCTCAACTGATCATTGTATTCAGTCTAAATCAGCTCATTTGAAGTTAAATGATCTCCTGGTCTAATTCCATTGTTGCATGGAAACAGAAACCCACATGAATCAACACAAAGT